TTCATGCTATTTCTGTTGCAGAGTTTGACAGCAAGAAAGAAATTCACTTGGTATGATGATATTTTCATAAGTTATAAAATAAAGGTAAATGAGGTAGTTTTCAGGTGAACTCCTTATAAATAATTATGTTCTGGATATGTCTATCTGAAATAGTTTCTCTAGATTTTTGTTAACTTGAGTTTTGCTAAATTAAATGATGGGAAACCACTGAATATCCAGGCCATTTCAAGTAAGATAAAATACTGAAATATCAATTGCTAAACAAGTCTAAATTTAATTACTTTTGTCTTCTTACAAGAGGAAACCTAAAGATATTTAGGGTTTATTAGACACATGTCTTGTACCACATTAAGGAAAGAAGTTATACCATGAGAAGATGTATGTTTCTGAAGGTTATGGAATATTCCTAAATTTGCCAACCAGTATATACTGGTATGACAAACTGTTCACAATTACTTGCTTCTTGGTTTTCACTACAGATTAAGGTTTTAATTTTTTAATTTTTGATTTTTATATGTATATATATTGTTTCAGCATGTATCAAAGTTTTATTTAGATGTTTAATGAAGGACAGTAGGATGACAAAGAATGCTGACAAAATACTGATGTTAGATGCAAAATTAGTTAATGCCCTACAGGGCAAGAAAAACACAACTTTTGGGGTTATCTTTTCTATCAGACAGAAATAATTTGCATCTCTTCTGGACAAACCAACCAACCGACCAAACTATACCTTATCAAACTTTCTAAAGTTAGCGTCTAACTTTACAGAGCTGTAAAATGTCTTGACCCTAATTAACAGTAAATAGTAAATTAAAGAAAGGTGCATATTTCTAGAGTCAGATGATTTTTAGGCAGGCTTCTTAGGCCATGCTCCTGTATGATGCTGATAAGACATCTAGTTGTCCTTTTAGTTTATTTCTGAGTTCTGGATAATTTTTCTTATCAGTCCGTCTCTATGACTGCAAACTTCAAAAGTTACTTATGATTGCAAAAATGGCTGATTTCATTATATATTGGGGTTATTTGACCTGACTCATTTGCAAAGAAGCCTCACTGTTGTATGGTCAGCAAATTTAGAGTGTGTAGTGCCAAAGAACCACTACAGCCAGAGGATTAACTATTTCTTTGTCAGGGGAGAGGTAACTGGGTTTATTTATTTATAATGGAGGGACTGGGGACTGAACCCAGGACCTTGTGCATGCTAAGCAGGCTATCCTACCACAGAGCTATACCCTCCCCACCCAGAGGATTAAACTCTGTTTGGAGATTTCACAAGGAACTAGAATTGAATGTTCATTCCCCACTATCATACCAAAGGTATTTTAAACTTGACTGAGATATAATTCACATATTATACAGTTCATTCAAAGTATGTAATCCATCAATCCATTGGCTTTTAGTATGTTCAGAGTTGTGCAAGATTAAGGATCTTAAAGGTTAAAGTTGTAATATGTGTAATTAATTAGGTAACAATTTTGTTATAAAAAGTAGGCTAGTGCAGGATTAGTTTTCTTCTCCCTGTTAAGAGAACAGTTTTTTAAAATTCTATTTTTGATAACAGATTGTATGAGTTTCTTTGCCTTTAAGTAATCTGTATTTGTTCTTGAAATCTTTTGTTACTTTGGTTAAGTGAATAAGTACTGTTTCACAGTGATCCATGATCCTATTTGACCAAATGTTCTGAAACCTTTTTGATATTTTTGACAAACTTCTCAAGTAACAAATTAAGTTATTTTACCCTCCAGCTAACTCTGGAATGTTTCAAAAAAAAAAACCCGAGGCATCTCAGAGAGAAATGATAAACTAATTAGGCTTATTTGGTATATTAAATTACTTGAGAAACATTATCAAATGACTGGAGATAAACCTTTTGGGTTATACTGTATAAGTAAATATCATTAATATAGATATTCCAAAATTTCTATGGAATTCCTAAAAATCTGAAACATCCTGGTATAATGTATCAGTCATAATTCTAGTATTATCTTAAAATGTTGTATGTCACAGATATACCCGTTTCTTGTCAATTACATTGTAATCAGATCTTTAAAGATGCTGTTTTAAGTCTTTTGTTGTTTATAGATAACCAATGTTTTACTCTAGTGCTTTTATAAAGTGAAGATCTTCAAGAAGATTCATAAAAAGAACTTTTTGACAAATAAAAGTTTCTGATAACTTTCAGATCATATCATTGACCTGGGTAAGAAGGTATAAAACTATTGAAAAACCTGATGACTTCATCCAGATCAACAGTAATTTATTACATGGGACTGAGTGAACTGACAAATATGATTTATAATTTTCTGAAATACACTGGCTTTTTTTTTGTTACAATATTTTAAAATGCTTCTATTTTATTTATGTATTTTTAAAAACATTTAAAAAACTGAGTTATAGTCAGTTTACAATGTTGTGTCAATTTCCAGTGTAGAGCACAATTTTTCAGTTATATTAAATATACTGGCTTTTAATCTTTCTTATCCAGTAAAATCTCTTCTCTTACACTATGACCTACAGCAAGCTGATATAGTATACCTTTGTAAATAAAGATGAAATATTTATCTTTTTCTCTACCTGATCCTTCCAGAATTTGTCTTCTCCAGCTGGCTCCCCTGTGGACTTGATGATTTATTGTGACCAGATTACAACTAGTTATACTAATCATTCTTTTAATTTGTTCTCTTTGTTTCCGAATCCTTTATGACTCTCTTTGCTGTATTATGATCTTATTAACGTTACTACCTATAGTACTTATCCTGTCTATTTTATAAGATTGTCTTTTGCATTACCCATTGTGTAATGAGACATTGAATGAAATTAATGATGGCTAAAAATCTTGAGATAGTTGATCATATATTATGACCCTATACAGATTAATTGTAATAGTGCAATTCTAGATATCGGAAGCAGCAGCAAGGGAAAATATTTCCTGGATCATAACAGACTAGTAAGACAGGTGATTCAGAAAATTTAGATTATCAACAGGGCCCGATCCCAAAATCAGCACTGAATGGCCTATCAGCAGAATCTTCCCCTGATCTAGGAATGAGACTTCCTAGCACTGTGGAACAAAATTGGTCATGAAGTGCCTCCCAAACATTGATTCAATTTATCAAGAAGAGGTCCTGTGGATGAGGAATGTTGCCTGCCATATCAGCAAACAAAAGACGCTGGGACCATCAGTCACCCAGAACGAGTACTCCAAGAGGATTCAGGATGGAGAAAAACAGGATACTGGCCCTAGGTAGTTAACATGTATATCAAGGGAATGATTTCAATGAGCGCAGACTCTTGCATCTTTCCATATACAGAAAAGCACTAAACTTTTACAAAAGACAACTTTTGAGATGTCTGGTTTTTCTTTAATTAGCAGTAATCTTTCGATGTTCCGACTACCTGTTGTTGTTATTTTTTTTTTTTCTTCAAAACTCCTATATATCCTGGCTCCTCCCTTACCTCGTAGGAACAGTTCCTCAGAGCTGAGAGGCTGTATCTGGGCTTAAGTCCTCAGTAATGCCCTAAATAAAATACAATTCTCAACTGTTAGGTTGTGCTTTTTTTCCCCCCAGTTGACAACTCTATCTCATTTGCCTTCATTTTATAACTTATGAAAATATCACCAAGTTAATTTTTTTCTTGCTGACAACCCTGCAACAGAAATAACATAAGCTTATTGACCTTCAGTTAACCTAAGTACAATAAGACATGTCTGTATTGATCAGATCAACATGCTTAAGCTAGGTTTAATGCCAGATATTAATTTAGTATGGAATATTTTCTAGATCACAAGAATCTGAAATTTATTTTGGCCAGTTTCCATTATATTCAGAAATATTTAATTTGTAAGTGCTTACATTTAAGTCAATTACATAGAACTGTTTTAAAAACTTAATTCTGCTAGCATTATCTGGAGGTACTGACATCTCATGTGTATAATGTGTACACAGACATATAAACAGACATTATCACCATCAGTAGCTTGATACCATTCTTGACACCATATAAACAACACCTTGTATATAAGGAAAACCTCTCTTGCTGTCTCTCAATCATTTCCCCACGGATTTGAAACGCTATCCCAAGCAGAGATGCTATCATTTTGGGGAGGTACATGGAGTGTGGACAAGAACTCTGCTCCACATTCCCCTCCTCCTAGTCAAAAGAAAGTAAGAACAGATCAAGAAAGACGCACCACTCCTAATGTTGCAGAGACAAAAGTCCTCTTACCTGGGCTTCTGCAAAGGAGATGGCAGAGGTACTGAGGCCGCGTGGGCCTGGGGCCATGAGGAGGACATAGTGCTCGTGCCGGCAGCACTGGCCGGCTGGGAACCGGAGCCCAGCTGTCAGTGGTTTCTGGGGCCACTGGTAGCGCCCTGCAACGCTGTGGAACTGAGTGAGTAAAAGGAGAATGGAATCCTTTTATCGGGAGAAGTCACTTATTATTTATTCTCATTTCCCCCCTCAGCCCCCCCCACCGCCCTCCCCAAAAGTCAGGCAGCCCCCTACCACAGGTAAGGACATTGCTACTCCCCACTCTCAGACACCCCAGCCTGAAGGTATGCAACCAGTGAGTCCTGTATCTCAGCTACTGCAGACCCACCCGGGCGCCCAGAGATTGAGGTTCAGGTTTTCGTGGAAGGGATGACGCTTGTTTCCAGGGAACAGAGCACGACACGGGCTGCCGAGCCCACGGCGTCGGGGACGTAACCCTCCGGCGTCCTCATGTGACCCGAGGTTATGAGACGCAGGTCCCGGTGAGGTCAGCGTCTGCTCATGCCCACAGCACGAGCCGTCCCTGGCTTGGGTCACAGGGACAGGGTGGCAACCCGGCGCTCAGCCCCGGGGCATCCTTACCTGACGCTGGGGTCGTAGCAGGCGCAGAAGCTCCCGGCGTCCGCACATCAACCGCAGCGCCATTTTTCCGGAAAGAGGACTTCCGTTCGCGCCTGCGCACTCAGAACCGCAGCCTCGCGGGAATAGGCCCTTTTGGAAATGGGCGTGAAGCCAGAGCTGTCGCCGCTCTCGGAGGTAAAGAAGACTGGAGCTTGGCGGCCATATTTGAAGTGGGTAAGAAGCCGCAAAGGGCCGCGTTCACAAGCTCGCGCACAGAGTTTTCGGGAGATTGAAGGTAAGAACCACATAACCGGTTTCCGTTACTGGCTGCATGACTCGCAAGTATTTCTCCGTCCGCTAAGTCTGCGATTCTCCTACGATTTGTTGAGTGAAAAATACCCTCTGGACAGTCTTGGCAGTGCTTGGTGTGGGGTTTTTTCCTGCGCAGTGATGTTCGATTTTTATTGCTAGGTAATATTGTAATCGCAAATCTAGAGGAATTTGAGGGTAGTTTGGAGTTTGACAGACATTGAGGGAACGAACTTCTAGGGAAGGAACCACCTGCAGCAAGCTTGGAACCTCTCTCTAGATTCTGTTGTGTAAGATGATTGAAGGTTTTTATTGCCTAGACTCTTAAGTCTAGGTTGCTAGGGTTCTTGAAACTGAAAGCATTTCTAGAGTATGAGGTGAAATTCCCCTCCTCCAAAGAAAAAAAAGTACTCCTCAGAAAGGTGGGAGTTGACTATATTTGAACCCCTACAAAGTCTCTCAAACTGAAAAGTGCTTTTTGAATAATAAAGTATAGATTGGGAAAAGTACAGTAACCTGAAATGATTTCAATCACTGATATTTTGGATGGTTATAAATGTACCTGACAGAAACTGTAAAAATAGAAAGCAAAGAAATATAATTCAGAATTAATAATAATTAGGGGGTATGACATATCAGTCACGTATGTTGGACACTGTTGTAAATAAGCTTTTTAAAGGTTACTTTGAAAAATAAATACAGTTAGAGGTGATGATAGCTACAGAACTCTTGGTAACAAAAACAAAACGGACAGAAAAAAACTCAAATGGTGGACTTCGGTGGCCCCAAATGGATCTTACCTTCCAGTTTTGCGCCGCTGATAGTTCCCTCCTCTTGAATGTGGACTAGCCTGTGACTTAACATTTATCCTTAGAATGCATTTTAGGCCCATGCCTTAAGAAGATTTAATAGCTCCTACTTTTGCTTTCAAGGGGAAGCTGCCTATTGAAGTTTGACTTCTCAGACTTCCATGCTGTGAAAAACCCAGCCTAACCACAAGGAGGAGCACTGAGAACTTGGCTAACAGCTCCAGTTAAGCTCCCAGCCAACAGTTACCACCAACACTACAGCTCTATGAAGAAGGCCATTTTTGGAAGTGGGTTCTTCAGCCTACTGGAGCTAATTTAAGAGTGACTCCATGTGGAGGGAGATAGGCTGCTTGCTCTGCCTAGCTCTGCCCAAGTTGCAAAATGACAAGCAAATACAGTGATTGTGGTTGTAAGCCACTAAGTTTTGGAGTACTTTGCTGTGTGGCAGTAGATCACTGAAATGTATTCTAACGTTAATGTGACTAGGTATTTGTATTTGGGAAGAGAGCATTTCCTTACTACTAAAGCTAACAGGTCTGCTATGGAGGTTCCTTAAAAAACTGAAAAGAGGGGGAGGGTGTAGCTCAGTAGTAGAGCAAGTGCTCAGCATGCACGAGCTCCTGGGTTCAATCCCCAGTACCACCATTAAAATAAATAAATAAACCTAATTATCTGCCCCCTAAAACAAAACAAAGAAAAAAAACTGAAAAGAAACTTACCATGTGATCCAGCAATCCCATTGCTGGGCATGTATCTGGAGAAAAATAAAATTCAAAAAGACACATGCATCCCAGTGTTCATAGCAGCACTATTTACAATAGCCAAGACATGGAAGCAACCCAAATGTCCATCAACAGGTGACTGGATAAAGAAGATGTGGTACATATATTCAATGG